CCATAAGCTCCCTTTCTGTCCGTCTTATCTGATGCATGAGATGCATCAGCATATCCGATTAACTCCATTGCTTCTTCTCCGCCTTCGTAGAGTAGCCCCTCTTCTCCCCGTTGCTGCAGATAGGTGATTGTGCGCTGCATCTCCTTCCATTTGCGGCCTTCTGGCTGCAGCACATTCTGCCCCAAGAAGCTGGCAGCATGTGCGCCGTCTACCCGCGTACAAGAGACGGGGTACATCACCGATCCGACCCGTGACTGGTAAGCCTTCAATGCTCGCTCCTTGCTGCCCCATTGGATGAGTTCTTCTTCAGGGCTGACTTCCTTCTCTGACAGGCTGCTGAGCGGAGTGGTCACTGCCTTAGTGCAGTCCCGTGTTCCAAACCTTTCTTGCAACCGATGAATGTACTTCTTTTGGTAGAGTAGCAGCTTCTTCCCTTCTCGGTCCCGCTCCAGGTTCATGCCAAGGAACAATGTGGCTCTTGGGATCTGCTTCACCTGGAAGACAGTTGCAAGGTGAGCACACACTTCCTCAACTCTGTCTTCCAAAGCTCCAGCCACTAGGATGTCGTCGACATAGAGTAGGAGGTAGACTTTTTCCTCCCCTTCCCCCTTCCAGTAAAATGCTCTGTCACACTGACTTTTCTTGAAACCTCCTTCGAGCAGGCGTGCATCCATAGCCTTGTACCACTCTCGAGGGCTTTGTTTCAGCCCATAGAGCGCTTTCAGCAGTTTGCATTTTCTGTCAGTCCCGTCCTCCATTCCTGTAGGCTGGTCCATGTAGATGTCTTCTTGGAGTTCTCCGTAGAGGAAAGCGTTCTTGATGTCAAGTTGAACCATGATGTAGTTGCATGCTGCCACAATCTTGAAGAGTGTCCTTGCTGTAGTCAATTTGCTGACAAGGGCATATGTCTCCGTGTAGTCGATCCCCTCCACTTGCGTGTAACCTTTTGCCACCAGCCGTACTTTGAACCTCTCTAGCTGCCCCTTATTCCCTGTTTTTATCTTGAAAATCCACTTGACGCCAACGGCATGCCTCCCTTCGGGCATTTGGACGAGTTTCCAAGTGCCTCTTTCCGCGAGAGTGTCCAACTCTTCTTGTATAGCTGCTTTCCACTGCTCCTTGTATGGTCCAGAGTGTGCTTCCTCGATGCTCAAGGGTTCCTGCGGCAGATTGTAAGTCTCTCTCCTTTCCTTGGTAATCAACGCTATCGCTGTTGAGGTGAGGAGGAGGTGAGTGAGCACGTCTTTCCAGCATGTCATTAGGACCTGTTGGTATTTCGGATTCAGCTTCTTCATCCGCATCCCTCTTCCTAGCTCCTCTCCTTTCACCGAAACATCACTTGCACCCGTGTCTACTGCCATCTCCCCTGCTTTCTCTATGCTTGAGCCTCCTTCTTCTCTCCCAATAAGAATAGCTCCTTCCTGCAGTAAGCTGTCGATTTCTGCTGCTCCTTGGTCGTTGTTGTTTGTCTCGAAGAACTCCCACGGGTCGCTTTTGCCCTCTGTACTTGGCTGACCTACACTTTCAGCTTCATTCCCTCCCATGTCTTCATGTGTGTCGCTAGCTGATCGTTGCAGAGGTGGAGTTGCAGGAGCCGCTTCCATGTCACCGTTGGCGAGCGTATCTGCAGTTGGCTCCCACACCCAATCCACTCCAGCTTGGGTATGTTCCTCCTCATATTCTTCCCCTTCGTCGTTTGCTGTCCCCAAGCCTTCGTTTTGGTCATCTTCAAGTAGTTCCTCCGCTCGTTGAGGTGTGGTAGGTGCTGTCCCTGGAGTTTTGCCCTTGTTACTTGCCTTCCAGTCCACGTAGTTGAGTTTTTCGTAGAATGTCACATCTCTGGTTGCCAGTACTATCCCGGTCTCCACGTCCTTGATGATCCAGCCCTTGCTCTCTGGACATGTTCCCAAGTGCACCCCCCACCTTGCCCTTGGCAGAAGTTTGTGATCAGCTCTAGCAGGGGGCCTGTACTGCGTCATACAGCCCCATACCCGAAGAAACTTCAGGTTTGGCTTCCGTTTGTAGAATGCCTCGTGAGGTGTCAGGTCCGCTACAAGTCCCTTCGTCGGTAGGCGATTTTTCAGCCAGCAGGCCATGCCCAACGCATCCCCCCAGTAGGTCAGTGGTAACTTGCTGTCCGCCATCATGCTCCGCACGCTGTTGAGTAGCGTCCTGTTCACCCGCTCTGCAATACTGTTGTGTTGAGGGGTGTGGGGAATGGTACGCTGCCGTCTTATTCCCTTGGTCTCCAGGTAGTCCGTGAAATCTTTGTTGGTGAATTCCCCACCATTGTCCGTTCGAAGTACTTTCAGCTGCTTGCCGCTTTGCCGTTCAGCTTCCGCCAACCAATCAACGAAACTCGGAAAATCCTGAGTTTTGTCCTTAATTTCCGTCACCCATGTGAGCCTTGTGTCGATGTCTGTGAACGTGACAAAGTATCTGTTGCCATGTCGTGATGTGACCCTCATGGGACCGCATACATCCGCTGCCACCACTTCCATTGCCCCATATGGCTCCTTCGGTCCATGTCTTGGATGGGGAGCCTTTGTAGCTTTCCCTTCGACACATGAGTCGCACTTCGTATGGGTTTCCTCAGCATCATTCACCTTCACTCCTGCTGCCATATCTTTCTTCATCATTTCCTTGATCCGTTGAATGCTTGCATGCCCCATCCTCTTGTGCAGGAGATTTATGTCAACAGTTTCTGCCACTGCTGCCGCTTGGAACTTCAGCTGCTGCAGCTCAATCACTGCAGTATTTTCCAGCATGGTACATAGCTCTTCTCGGGCCTTTTTCCCTTCTTCAGGTTCAGGTTGATAGATAAGCTTGGTCCCACGAGTATCTTGCTCCTTTAGCTTCATCTCATAGAGTCCTTTAGTCCATGCGCCTTCCGCTATCAGTTTCCAGTTGGGACCGAACACCCACAGCTTTCCATTGTCACTGAAGGTCTTGCAGCCACTGCTGTCCAGTTGCGTCTGACTGATAAGGTTAAGGGACAGCTTCTCCACCAGTAGAACGTTGTCCATTTTCAGCTCCCCATAGGGACTCTGTAAGATCAGGTCCCCTTCTCCTTGTACTTGAAGTTTCCCTTCGTCCCCGAGTAGGACATAAGGTACTCCGGTTTCCCGGTAGTTGCATAGCCAATCAGCTCGGTGTGTCATGTGCTGTGTACACCCGCTGTCCATAAACCAAGCCGTTTCCTTGAACCCTTTTGACAGCAGGCACACCTCGGATGCTCGAGCAACGTTGGCTTTGTGGGCGCCTCCAAGGATGGCGTCAACCTTTGGCGTTTCTTCCACAGCTGCAGGTGCCTCCATCAGGTTTGTCTTCGCTGCTGCTGCTGGCCTTTGTTGTTGCAGCTCCTTTCTTCGGAAATTTCTGCAAAATCGGTTGTTGTAGCAATCGGAAGCCTTGTGCCCGAATTTGCCGCAATGGTTGCAATTTCCATTGAACCCTCCGCTTGCCTTGTAGCCTTCTTTACGCCTTGCATCGTTGTTTTGTTGCCTTTGTCCTTTCCCTTTGTAGTTTCTTCCATTGGGGTTGGAATAACAGTCAGCAGCTTTGTGCCCCTTCTTCCCGCAGTTGTAGCAGTTGCCAAAATCTCTTGGTGTTGCAGTTGCATTCAGATTTGCAGGCCTGTTGACCTCTGCTGCCGTTGCCACTGCTTCCCTTCTTTTCAGGTCAGATTTGACCAGCTCAAGCGCCTGGAGGGTCTCGAGCAGCTGGGTCATATCCTTGGGCGTGTTGCAGGTAAGGATTCCGATCTCTGCAGTCCATTCCTTGGGTAGGCCGCTGATTATGTAACTCATCATGTTTTTTTCAGATTTCGGCGCCCCCATTGCCGTGAGATCGTCGTTGTACCTCTTGGCTCTATAAACGTAGTCAATGATCTTCTCCTATGGCTCCATTGCGAGTAGCAGCAGTTTCTTTCTCACTGCAGTCAGATTCGTGTCCGTCCGTCCGAGATACACCGCTTCCATGTATGTCCATGCGCGTTGTGCTGAGTTTATGTCATCCGCAAACTGGTCCAGCCCCACAGCGATGGAATCTGAAACCGAGTGGCACAGTTGGAAGAAGGCTTGTAAGCTCTTCTTCTTGTATGCCCTCTTTTCTTGTGCCGTTGCCGTTGCAGGTGGAGGTACTCCTTCCTCCGTTTCCTCATCCGCTTTGTAGAAGTGCCAAGTGTCAATCTCTCTCGCCCGCCGCATAAACTTCAGTCGCCATGTGCTGTAATTGTTGTCGTTGAAGCGTTGCGCCTCACTTAGGCCAATCGTTGGCCTCGCCACCATTTGCCCTTTTGCAAGGGCCTCCAAGAGGGCTTGGACTTGGGGAACTTCAGCACTGACTGAAGAACCCGAGCTTGCCTCACCATCCCCGTTCGGCATGATGCAGGAACTTGTCTTGGCCCTTCTTGAATGCTTAACACGAACTAGAACCAGCTCTGATACCAGCTCTTAGACTTAGTCGCAGTGAGGACGTGACTTAGAAGTCACGAAAACAGCAGCAGAGGGCTTCAAACTGAATCCCAAAGTTGAAGAAACAGGTTGCTTTCCAACCCAGGTTGCAAACAGAAAGTTTCACTATGAAAAATTGATACAATGAGGAAAAACAAAACATGATATTTAAGCAATCCGAAATTCGAATTTTTTCCAACCATTCTGGAGGCAGTGTTCGGTGGAGTTGAAGAAAGTCGGTTTCAGCGACGGTTCAGTTTGAATTTCGGTTTTTTCAACGTCGGTTACTGCTACGAAATTCGGATTCGCGACGAGGCGCGTTACACGAAAGAGGTGACGCGTCCTTACCAACCAACAAACTGACCATGGGAATCGGGCGTGATCGTGGAGAGATGCGTGGTCAAAACCACTGCCCAGTGGAATCGGAAACAAGAAAAGACGGTGGTTAGTCAGTGGCTTAAAGCCCAAGACCTGAATTACAAAAAAAAAAAAGGCAAACTGTGCACACTTTGCCTCCCGAACCTAAAGTTGACCTCCCGAGCCAGGATGGTAACCAGAAAACGTCGCATCCCAAGAAGACTGAGTCGTAGAGCAGAACGCGTCCGCTTGGCGAGAGTTCCAACCACCCTTTCCTGAAGGAGGAAGGGAACTGCCTGTGCACAGTTTGCCGAACAATGGTAATTCAGGAATGCTTGTGCGGCTATTCCGCGAAACGCAAAGCTCTGTCAGCGGCATAGGCAGGACCTTCAACCCCGTTGCAACACTTGCTTTGCCCTCATCCCAAGATTGACATGCGCGAAGCGTGTCCTTTTTCCACGTCGAAATTAGTGCCGTGAAAGGTAATTTAGCTATCCCCTCACATCGTCCACCCCCTTGACGCACCGTCGCCCTCGCATCCCCCGTTTCCCCGTCGCCCTTGCCCTCCCAACGCCCTTACCCCGGTCCCCTCTCGTCGATTTCTTGTCAACGTCGTGGGGCCACATTCCGACGCTTCGTACACCACTCCGCGCTCCTCTCGCCTCACGGCGCGCGCTCCTCTCGCCTCCCCGCGCGCGCTTCTCTCGCCTCCCCGCGCGCGCTCCTCTCGCCTCCCCGCGCGCGCTCCTCTCGCCTCCCCGCGCGCCCGGCTCTCGCCTCCCCGCGCGTGCTTCTCTCGCCTCCCCGCGTGGGCTCCTCACGCCTCCCTGCACGCGCTTCTTTCGCCTCCAGCGCCGCATCTTCCCGCCTCCCCGCGCGCGCTCCTCTTGCCTCCCCGCGCGGCCTCCTCTCACCATCGCCAGCGTGCTCCGCTCGCCATGGCCTCGCGTGCTCCTCTCGCCTTGATAGCGCGCGATTCTGTCGCCTCCCCGCGTGGCCTCCTCTCACCATCCCGCGCGTGCTCCTCTCGCCTCCCCTCGCATGAGAGGCGAGCCTTTATAGCGCGCGCTTCACTTGCCTCCCCGCGCGGCCTCCTCTCACCTCCCCGCACATCCTCCTCTCGCCACCTCACGCGTGCTTCTCTCGCCTCCCCACGCGAACTCCTCTCGCCTCCCCTCGTGTGCACCTCTCACCCCCCCTCTGCCGCCCCTCTTGCCTCCCCGTGCAGCCTCCTCTCACCTCCCTGTGCGTGCTCCACTCGCCTCCCCTCGCGTGGTCATCTCACCTCACCTTGTGTGCTCCTCTCGCCCCCCCACGCGTGCTCCTCTCTCCTCATCTTACGTGCTCCTCTCGCCTCCCCACGCGTGCCCCTCTAAGATGCGTGAGGGGCTTCACCTCCCGTCTCCTCACTGCCTCTCTGCGTCTCGCGACAGCCTCTGTTCGCGTCGCTGATCGCAAATATTGCCCTTGGCCCCTGCTCACACTCTTGCAACGGCTGTGCTTCCGCATCCCCTCTGCACGCCCTCTTTCCCCCTCTTCCACGCCCTCATTTCCCACCCTGCTTGCCCACGTTTCCCCACCTTGCAGTCCCTCACAAGCCCTCGGTGCAGGCCCTCTCGCCTCCCGTGCTCCACTCTGGAATGTGGGACGCTCCTCTCTCCTCACCTCCCGTGCTCCCCTCTGACAGGTGGGGTGCTCCTCTCTCCTCACCTCCCGTGGTCCACTCTGACAGGGCATGGTGCTCCTCTCCTCTCGCCTCCCGTGCTCCACTCTGAAATGTGGGACGCTCCTCTCTCCTCACCTCCCGTGCTCCCCTCTGACAGGTGGGGTGCTCCTCTCTCCTCACCTCCCGTGGTCCACTCTGACAGGGCATGGTGCTCCTCTCCTCTCGCCTCCCGTGCTCCACTCTGGAATGTGGGACGCTCCTCTCTCCTCACCTCCCGTGCTCCCCTCTGACAGGGGGGTGCTCCTCTCTCCTCACCTCCCGTGCTCCCCTCTGACAGGTGGGGTGCTCCTCTCTCCTCACCTCCCGTGGTCCACTCTGACAGGGCATGGTGCTCCTCTCCTCTCGCCTCCCGTGCTCCACTCTGGAATGTGGGACGCTCCTCTCTCCTCACCTCCCGTGCTCCCCTCTGACAGGGGGGTGCTCCTCTCTCCTCACCTCCCGTGCTCCCCTCTGACAGGTGGGGTGCTCCTCTCTCCTCACCTCCCGTGGTCCACTCTGACAGGGCATGGTGCTCCTCTCCTCTCGCCTCCCGTGCTCCACTCTGGAATGTGGGACGCTCCTCTCTCCTCACCTCCCGTGCTCCCCTCTGACAGGGGGGTGCTCCTCTCTCCTCACCTCCCGTGCTCCCCCCTGACAGGTGGGGTGCTTCTCTCTCCTCACCTCCCGTGGTCCACTCTGACAGGGCATGGTGCTCCTCTCCTCTCGCCTCCCGTGCTCCACTCTGGAATGTGGGACGCTCCTCTCTCCTCACCTCCCGTGCTCCCCTCTGACAGGTGGGGTGCTCCTCTCTCCTCACCTCCCGTGCTCCCCTCTGACAGGTGGGGTGGTCCTCTCTCCTCGCCTCCCGTGCCCCACTCTGACAGGGCAGGGTGCTTCCGGACCTGTTGTTTAGTGCCTGACCTGCCCACCCTCCCCTACACAGCCAACTCAATTCAATGACCTGCGTAATCAGATAGTTCCCCCCCCCCCCCCCCCCCCCCCTCCCCCCTCCCAACCCATTCAGTCCCTAACCCCTCCCTCTCCCTTGTTGTTTTCTGCCTGATGTTCCCTTTTCTCACCCTCTAAACCAGTCCACCTCATCAGCCATATCTTCGTGGAGACGTACTCCTCGGAGACGGCTGACGCTTGGATTCAGGGTTGGGGAGGAGGGTTCCGAGGATGATGAGGAGGAGAGGGGTCGGCGACGTGGACCGGAGTCGATGTTCACGGCAAGTACGGGCACCCTTTCAGCCCATACTCGTTCAGTTGCCGCGAGCACAACACGTCCCTTTCCCAGGGTTCGAGCTCGAAGAGTTGTGCAGCCAACGGGCTTGCCCCCACAGGTTCAAAATGCGAAAGAACGATGGGGAATATCTGAGTTTGAGGAGCAATATGCCAAGCAGCATCGTGTGCTTGACGCTTGGGCGCGACATTGGCTCGGATTGTCGGATGAGGAGGGCCCCGGGAGTCAGGGAATTAGTGTGGGGAGCATTCTGATGGTGTGCTTGGGAAAAAACACGGAAGAGGATTCTCAAGGTCACCCTATGGAGATTGATTTTGGGATGAGGTCAAACAATGCTAGGTCAATTGTCAATGTGGCCACGCAAGAGTCTGGAATTTATTGATTGTTAACAAGGGAGAGATGGTTATCGGGTACGATTTACACTGTACATGTGTTCCTCTTTTTACACAGACTGCAATAGTTTGACATGTGGTTGGATGACCATCCAGCTATGATGGATAGATCAATGAAGAAGCCCTAGGTATGTTATTTGATGGGGAAGGACATGTTTCACTTCTTAGCTTCTAGCCATCGGGGAGCGCGTTGCATCATTTGCCTCCACTACTTGTGAAAAAACGGCATGCTCACGTGCACGGTATTTGTGTGAGGCAAGCACACGCTTAGAGTTACACGTGAACACGTGTAGGTGCAGTGATGAATGGGGCTGATGGTGACTTGGCTGATGTCCAATGCTGCTTGCCCTAGCCCTTGCGGATCTGAGCACAAAGAGAGGCGGGAGGGTCGAGACAGGTGGAGAAACAAGTACACAAAAAGTGGAGAGGTGGAGACAGGTACTACGGAAACAAGTTTACAAAAAGTGGTGCGTAGTGCATGTATCAGGCCAAACAGAGTGTGTCTCAGTGTAGTGCATGTGGGGCAGACAGAGCAGCCACGGCGAGCGGAACGTGCACTACGGACAGCATGAGAAATGCAGAGCAGACAGTGCAATGACTCACCTCCCGTGTGAGGTCTCGGCCACTCTCTTCACAGATATGCAGCATGCTCTCCGTTGGCTGACATGCAGGGGGGGATAGGAATGTGGGACAGGAGAGAGGATGGGATAGGCAAGGGAGGGGAACGGGACTGAACCAGTATTGGGAGCTGGACAAGGGGAAGGGGATGGGGCGGGGGGCGGGACGGGAAAAAGGGGGAGATGGAATGGGTGAGAGGGGAGACGATAGTGGGGGAGGGTAACGTTTTGGTTGACCGGGCTGAAGGATTAAGTCTCTTGGGTGTTTCACAACGCCTGCTCGCAGCAACCCCTGGCAAGTAGACCTAGTTGGGGGAGAAGGGCAGAAGTGATGTGTTACCTGGTGAAATTGAGGGGAGGGGGGCAGGAATAACCTGCTCAGCTTAGTCCAAAAGTGATTTCGGAAGTGGTACCAGATGGACTGAGCGAGAGCAGTGGTGTTGCCGTAGGTGGATGCTTAGAACACGGCCACTGTGGCCTCAATCTCCAGCTGCTTGATCTTCTTGCACATCCCACCACCCCCACCACCCCCACCACCCCCACCACCCCCACCACCACCACCACCCCCACCACCACCACCCCCACCACCACCACCACCACCACCCCCACCACCACCACCACCCCCACCACCCCCATCACCACCACCACCCCCACCACCACCACAACCTCTCGGCCACCACCACCAAATCCACCACGTTACACCAAAAGGTGGGAGGGTAGAGAGTTGTTATGTGCAGGAAATCAGAAACCATGCGGTGGAAATAAGCGAAGGCGCGTGACATGAGCCATGGAGGGGATTGAGTGGAGGTTACATTACAACCAATGGGAGTGTGGGAAGGTTGGTTTAGGGTAATTGGCGGAATAGGTTACATACCGGAACCATCGTATAGGTCTCCAGAACCGGTCTCAATCTCTGCGTGTTTAGGGTGCCATGTCACCTAGAATCACATTCTCAGAGATTTAATCAGTCAATGGAAACACGAAACGATCAGAGACAACACGCGGTTACTTTCTATGACCCCCACAACACGGCCACATGTACATACCAAGTAAGTTGCGACGTGCGCCGGTCGGGGCGAGGTGCGCCGTATGGGGCTGCGCAGCCCGCGACGCGATTGGAGTTCTCAATTGTGTTTCCCCCGATCCGGAAGAAACACCTTGGGATGGCCCGGCAGCTGTGGGAGAATCCGCTTGTGGTGACTCCTCCTCTACCATCTCTCTTGGAGGTGGGGTGTCGTCCATGTTGGCGGCAGTCCCGGCATCTTCGACCCCATCTGTAAATGGTCGCCTCCACTCTCTCAAGATGCCGTCAACCCAGCTCCAGTCCATCGGTCCGAGCACCCGATCTCGCCGACCACGGCGCGTTCTTGTCGCGTGCTGCATACGTGTGACATATGCCCGAACAACACGGTCCATCGTGTTGTTCCAGTGAAGAGCTGTTAAGGCAGGTGTGAGGATGGTAGCACGTACCTAGCTCAGAAAGGCGGGCTCATGCACGCGGGGCAATGGTTGGCAATCAGGGTGGCTGAGATGCCCGCAGGTGAGTGGTGTTGCTGGCCGAAAGGTGTCTGCGTGCTGGAATGAGGAGGCAAGGAGGGCAGGGTTGAAGGAGGAAAGATTGGAATGGAGGAATCAGATATATGGAACGACAGGTAGGGAAATGAGGAACGACAGGAAGGGAAATGAGGGCGGATGGGAGGAAGGGAGGATGGGAGGAAAGGTGGATGTGAGGAAGGGGGGATGAGAGGAAGGGAGGATGAGGAGAGAGGATAAGAGGAAGGCCGGATGGGACGAAGGGAGGATGAGAGGAGGAGGGGATGAGAGGAAGGGTGGACGAGAGGAAGGGAGAATGAGAGGAGGGGAGGAAGCGAGGAAGGGCGGATGAGAGGAAGGGAGGATGATAGGAAGGGTGGACGAGAGGAAGGTTGGATGAGAGGAAGGGCGGATGAGGGGGTGGGAGGACGAGAAGACGGGTGGACAAGAGGAAGGGTGGATGATAGGGAGGGCGGATGAGGGGGGGGGGTGGAAGTAGGGGAGAGAGGACGAGAGGAAGGGAGGACGTGAGGAAGGGCGGATGAGAGGAAAGGAGGACGTGAGGAAGGGGGGATGAGAGGGAAGGAGGACGAGAGGAAGGGGGGAAGAGGGGAACAGAGGATGAGATGAAGTGCGGATGGGGGGAAGGGAGGATGGGATGAAGGGCGGATGAGGGGGAGGGCGGATGATGGGGAGGGAGGACGAGAAGAATGGTGGATGAGAGAAAGGAGGATGTGAGGGAGAGACGATAAGAAGGTGAGAGGATGAGAGTGTGAAAGGCGGATGAGAGGGAAGGAGGATGAGAGGAAGGGAGGATGAGAGGAAGGGCGTATGATAGAATGGGAGAATGAGAAGGAGAGAGGATGGGAGAGAAGGGCGGATGTGAGGAAGGGCGGATGTGAGGAAGGGCGGATGAGAGGAAGGGCGGATGTGAGGAAGGGCGGATGTGAGGAAGGGCGGATGTGGGGAAGGGAGGATGGGATGAAGGGCGGATGAGGGGGAGGGCGGATGATGGGGAGGGAGGACGAGAAGAAGGGTGGATGAGAGAAAGGAGGATGTGAGGGAGAGACGATAAGAAGGTGAGAGGATGAGAGTGTGAAAGGCGGATGAGAGGGAAGGAGGATGAGAGGAAGGGAGGATGAGAGGAAGGGCAAATGAGAGGAAGGGAGGATGAGAGGGAGGAGGATGAGAGGATGGGGGGACGAGAGGAATGGAAGGGGAGTGGAAGGGAGGATGAGAGAAAGGGAGTATGATAGAATGGGAGAATGAGAAGGAGAGAGGATGAGAGAGAAGGGCGGATGAGAGGAAGGGCGGATGTGAGGAAGGGCGGATGAGAGGAAGGGCGGATGTGAGGAAGGGCGGATGTGGGGTTGGGAGGATGACAGGAAAGGAGGATAAGAGGAAAGGAGGACGAGGGGAACAGAGGATGAGATGAAGGGCGGATGTGGGGAAGGGAGGATGAGATGAAGGGCGGATGTGGGGAAGGGAGGATGAGATGAAGGGCGGATGTGGGGAAGGGAGGATGAGATGAAGGGCGGATGAGGGGGTGGGAGGACGAGAAGACGGGTGGACAAGAGGAAGGGTGGATGATAGGGAGGGCGGATGAGGGGGGGGGGGGGGGGGGGGGGCGGAAGTAGGGGAGAGAGGACGAGAGGAAGGGAGGACGTGAGGAAGGGCGGATGAGAGGAAAGGAGGACGTGAGGAAGGGGGGATGAGAGGGAAGGAGGACGAGAGGAAGGGGGGAAGAGGGGAACAGAGGATGAGATGAAGGGCGGATGGGGGGAAGGGAGGATGGGATGAAGGGCGGATGAGGGGGAGGGCGGATGATGGGGAGGGAGGACGAGAAGAAGGGTGGATGAGAGAAAGGAGGATGTGAGGGAGAGACGATAAGAAGGTGAGAGGATGAGAGTGTGAAGGGCGGATGTGAGGAAGGGCGGATGAGAGGAAGGGCGGATGAGAGGGAAGGAGGATGAGAGGAAGGGAGGATGAGAGGAATGGAAGGGGAGAGGAAGGGAGGATGAGAGAAAGGGAGTATGAGAGAATGAGAGAATGAGAAGGAGAGAGGATGGGAGAGAAGGGCGGATGAGAGGAAGTGCGGATGTGGGGATGGGAGGATGACAGGAAAGGAAGATGAGAGGAAAGGAGGATGAGAGGAGGGGGGGATGAGAGGAAGGGAGGACGAGGGGAACAGAGGATGAGATGAAGGGCGGATGTGGGGAAGGGAGGATGAGAGGAAGGGGGGATGAGAGGGAGGTTGGATGAGAGGCCGCGCGGATGAGGGGAAGGGAGGATGAGATGAAG